CCCCCCCCCCCCCCCCCTCACACCCTTAGTGAAACATCTACCTGCCTGATCATATTTGTGGCTTTATGTCCTGCCCAAACCATCTATTAGTTCTGTCCCAATAACTCTGCCTTGTTCATTAAAATTGAACAAACATTGAACCAAGGCGCAGACAAGTGCACGAGTTTTGAAGTTCATCTCAAATTTTCGACGATACTTAATAGAAAAGGAAGGCGTGGCGCAATCAGGGCGATTGGATCGCTGAAGCTCCACATAGTTGCTGTTCACAGCAAAACCTAATTTTTATCTCTTCGGCATGACTGATTACGTATGCTCTCGGCCATTCCGATCAGATATAGTCCCGAATCCATATATTACCTGAGCAGAATGCAGCCGTGCTTGCGGCCGCAATGCGGCAAGCCCTAGTATAAAACAACGCGCATATGCAGCCAAGATGTCTGGCTTTGTGTTAAAGGAGGTGTCGAGTCTTCCAGTAACAAGTACACATACATATATGGTGTAGCATTTATTGGATCGTGAAATGCTTCGAGTAGCAGCCGATCATGCGGCACAGTACAACACGCAAAAATGGATGCGTGCCGTTGTGACGCGACGAACCATATATGAAAACCAGTTTTTATTATTGAGGTGGCCGGTTGTCTGAGATCTCTGATAGTTATTCCTCTTTCTTATCGCCTTCACCCTCCTTCTTTTCGCCACCTGCGGCTGGGGCTGCTCCTCCGGCAGCTGCACCACCTTCTGGTTTCTTCTTTCCACCACACTGTATCAATACCACCAAACATACAAGCAACATTTGAGCCATGGTGACGAACTGAAAACACAAAAGTGTACGATCTTTCTAAACGCCAACAACCTCACAGGAAATACTTCATGGGTGTGGGTGTGTGCCAGATCGCTCCAAACCTACTGGCCTAACGCCAGGTACGCGGCGAAGGGCCAAAATCGCCGCGAACTGAGCGACGATCTTGAGCGGCATCCCATCGTGTTGGTACTTGTTTGCAGTTCCTCATAATGTTTATCGCGATAATCAAAACAAGTTCTGACGTGTTAGTGAACCAATCGCAAAAAGCGGCTCTGGTAATCACGATGCCGCGTTGCGGCATCTCACCGAGGACGACCTCTGTTAGAGGTAGAGGTATCGATTGGAAACCGCGTCGTGCCACATAAGTCTGCTGGCAAGTGTGGTAGCCAAGTAAGGTACGCGCTGCAGCGATCACCGCCAGCTGCGGCATCGATTGACTGCCCAGGTACTAGAGCATCTTCAAGGTTCTGATATTTCACCGATCAATGTTTTTTCATGTTTTTCTATAACGAGCGGGAACCATTAAATTTTTCTGCACATGGACTTTTTTGTATGAATGTAGGTATGAATACGAAGGACAACTGGCATGAATCTAGATGGAGTAAATTTATCGCCACTGGTGGTTGGTAAAATGCCACAACTCTGAACGATACTCGTTTCAGGACCACCAGGAGTACCAAGGACGTTTTCAACGCCTGGTGCATTATGATGAAGATGCAAACAACTGATACCCATTTTTCATGGTCATGCTCATAAAGTTGAAGTAGGGTGACTTCATCATTACAGGTCACGCTATCAACGAATATCAGCACACAAAAGGGTCTCTAACCTTGCGCGAAGCTGATAGAGTATGAGGTGAGTTGGTTTTCACCCTGGCAACCCGTATACCTTACGCCAACAGTGCCAGCCGTCCCAAAAAAAGGAAAGTGAAGGAAGTACGACTTCCTGGTGATGTGCGTGCGTCTGTGGTGGCAAAACAGAAGAGTTTCAGGCACACAAAACTCCCCTGACCCAGCCGCTCATTCGCAAGCAGGCGGTAGCAAAGCAATCTTGAACTGCTATATAGCCATAGCTGTAGGGTATTGTCCTTGGGTTATGATACCGGTGTTATAACACAACATCCACTTCTGCAACGGGCGCCAAGTTTTTGTATGATTTCAGCCAGATGGGCTACGTTCAGGCCATGAATAGCTCCTACTTACGAGATTCGACGTTATCGGGGCCTCCATGGCGAGTGGTTGTGGTCGTTGAGGTTAGAAAAATGAACACTACTATCCAACTTGGACCATATCAAGCTGATATCACAATAATCATCAATTCTTATCCTAGCTGAAAGCTGATAAGCTACGTTATATATGCCGTCATTGAGGAGGTTCTTCAATTTCAAGGATGTGTTCAAAACACCTGAACTTGAATGGGATTTGCTCGCAAGCTTGTGCTTCTCGAGCATGGGGCTCTCCAGACATCTGTTCGGGGTAGAGGTGTAATGATGGGTGCGGTGCAGTAGGAACGGAATTGTCGCGTCGAGAGAGAGAGCGGCGCGCGAAGGCATGTCGCAGAATGCAGCAGCAAGTAAGAAATTTAAGAACAAAAGAATTAACAGTAGAATCATGTCATAAGTAATAATCGCATAGCGATTGAGCTGTATGAAGAACGCTAGAACTGCAATAACGAGGCAAATGGTCCGCGATAGCCGCTTGCGGCGGATCGATTACACAAAACCGTTCCCACTGCCCGTTTCCACAATCTTTTGCCGATCATGACACTTTTTTACGAAAACCGAAACCTGACAGGCTCATATGACCTCAGGACTAGCTAATGTTCTCCAATCGATGATGCAGAACGTTTTATCACATAGAACTATACTCTTAATGAAACACATCACAAGGCACGAACAAGTCGTCCAGATTTAAAAGAGCTGACTATGTGATGTGCATGGTGCACACCTGTCAAATGGCTACGGGGACGTTCAGAGCTGGTTGGGAGATGTGGCGCGCTCATACATACAGAAAGCTATATAATGGACATAATTAAGACCATAAGAGGAGGGAGAGGGAGACGAAATGTTGTGAGCAAATCCGTTGAACGAAGAAGAATAAGAAGGAGAAGGAGGAGAGGAAGAAGGCACACATCACGCCCACACATTCACAAATGTGTCGACAGAGCGATTAATTATTTTAGGGCTATGGCTTCTTATATGATAAGAAATTATGAAAACAAACAAATAAAAACATTTGTAAGCAATCAATATAGTAACGTATACAAATAGCTCTACTAAATATTATAATAAATGTGCTCGAAAGAGACACACACAGTGAGAAACAACAGCATAACAGACCCAATGCGTGTATGAATGGCACATTTCCGGCACAAACAATAACTCGGTGGTTAGGAGGCATAAGATGCGGGAACGGCGCAACCAGTGATGATTATTATTAAATTATAATGTAAGCAGTTAGCGATTAGTTATTGATTGGTTATGGCAGACATACAGAGGAGCAAAGAAGAACATGAACACGTTACGCGTAAATGCAGAATTATGCTAGCTAAAATTTTCAACAAATAAGAATTTTTCAAAAAAGAGATGTGTTTTGTTAAAAGCATAGAAAACCAAATTCAAATGATGAAATATCGAAATGAGCGATCGTAAACGAAGACACATCAGTTCCCAGGCGTTCCTCTTTTTAGCCGTTTAGCCGCTTCTTCGAGCCAAAGATCGAGTTCTTCAGACGTGCACCGAGGCCTCCTTTACTGGGAGTGGCTGCAACATTAAATACTATTGACATACGCTTTCACTTCCTGCTGGATTCTTTTTGTATTGTTATGGTAAAAATCGGTACGAACGTTAGAGCCTACTGACGCAGCACGACCGCGCGCGTCTCATGCTGGCCGCCCTGTCGCTGCTGAGCCTATGGATAACGCTAATGAATGGGCTTATTTCTCCGCTAGGCATTCTAGCAAAAACCTTCCTCAACAGAGTAAGTAGAAGTTTACTGGTATTTCGACTGCAATAGTATGCACTACGGCGAAACTTTGGGGCCATTCCAATCAATTCGTCCATTCAAATTACATCAAACTGAGAGTGATGAGGGTGGTAAATGTCGATTACAGTGCTGCTGAGGCAATATGACCATAGAAACATCTACTCAACCAAAAGGGACTGATCCATCGAAAGAGAAAGGAAGCGAAGCCAAAATAACAGATATTGAACAATTCAAGTAGGAGATGCGCCGCGACCGCGTGCCTATAAAGGACACATTCTAGAAAGATTTCGAGCGTGACAGGAACACTTCCTGGATCTAGCGGAGCCCATGTAGGTGTTCAAGCGTTGTGTGAAAATGGACGGCTTATGTAGATATGTAGAAGTAGTTTCGTCCATTATGTGACCAAGGCTAAGGAGTTCTTCAGGCACTTACCAGCTCTGTTCAAGTACACCCCTGTGCCCATATAGCTAAATTGAGCTATGGACTACAATGATACAGTACCCATTGCTAGCCAGATGATTCAGGAGAGCTAGATCTACAATAATCTCACTTCCATAAAACTAGGTTTCATGTGAACCCTCCGTATTACCGGGCTTTGGGCAGTGTAACTTCTGTGATGGGTTTTTCCACATATGAAGTTGCCTTCAATGATATAGAAAGAAACAGACTCACGTTCTCGTGCCGGGATACTCGGATTTTCAATCACCATTTTCTTCCAGGGCTCGGTGCTTAGACTGTTGCTCTTCATAAGGTTTCCAGGCTTCATCGGCGTCTCGTTCGCAACCTAAATGGATCTCCCGTTTAGAATTCGGGAAACAATGCGGTGGACCTATCAATGGCTTGCTTTTCAGAAGCAGCTATTGTCATTAGCAGTCATCATTAGTCAACGAAGAGCAAGTTTGGGGGATACGCGGACTGTCCTAGGCTATGGAGACTCCCTTACAAGCAACCCATACCTTGTTCAGGGACACGAGGCTGGCAGCGCTTCCTGGTGGTCGATTGCCAGCACCGATTTTTCGGAAGAACGATCCAATTTTGGTGGGTTTCCAGTTATTGGGCGGTAATTGATGCGAAGACAGCGATTGGATGTCCATTTCACTGCTTCGTGAGATCCTTCGATCATCGTACTAAAATTAACAAGTACAACAAAAATAACGGCATTTCATGAAGCCGGAGTAAGGATCATCCGCCACAAACTCACAGTTCCTATATTGTCATAGAAACCATCGTCATCGTCATCATCCGCTATGGAAGCTGCTCGTGACGACGCTGACTGATGGCCGACGATCGAACCTCGCCTTGCGGAAATCTGAAAACATTTTCATCTTAGGAGAAACTAAAGCGGTAGAAATCCTATTATCCCCGCTCGGGGAATGAAATTGCAGTGGAAATCAGACAGGACAAATCTCTCAGCTCTTGACAAAAACTATAATATCACCTGGCTGTGCTGATATGAGGGAGCACCCACGCCGGAGCTGTTCGATGAGTAATAACCACCATTCTGAGATGATGTAGCCGATCCTGAAAAAGGGAGTAGCTACAGAAATTTGTCTAGTAACCAGTGAGTTCACGTATGCAACTATCTATTTATTTGTAACATACACCAATGCACATTCACATGATCATATTACCTAAATGGGATAAAACATTGGTCCTATAAACTGAGATATGGGCGATGCGCTACAGAAAAAGGACCTAGTGTGATCGCAGTAAGGGCTCAAAAGGTTCACATGAAACGCCTAATGCCGTCGACGGATCTCTTTCGTGGGTCAAACAGCCCTACAGAAACATCGTTCACGATAATTTTGGGGCTAGCTAGTTTCAGGCGAATAATGGAAGAGATAAGCTAGAATAATGCAAAAGTGGCGAAGAGAACGCAGTAATTGGCATATTCAGAGGAATATAAGATTCAAAAAGAGGTAAAATCAGTGGTTGGGCGAGAATGTGACGACAAGAGACAATGGAACAGATATTTGGACGAGCTCTCCAAATGTGTGCGCCATTGCGTGCCTCTAGCTACAGTAAGCTGTCTGCGTGCAACGTGTGCGTCCTGATGGGAATGGTGTAATACCTACAGCTTCTACAACGCCGCTAGAACTGGTCACGGTTGAGTGTGTATGCTAGCTAAGCAAGTTGGTTTTGAAGCCCTTAATGCGCCCTGTCTAGGCCATTTTTGACCGAACAGCGCTCCTTGTGCTATCCTTGGGGGTGACAGGCTCATAGTAAGAAGAAACCTTAGAAACCATCTTCATCGTGAGGTATGCTTTCAATTGTCTAAGCCCAAATCAGCCTGTTGTACCGTTTCTCGACAATGCAAGGTGCTACATATTGATAATGGACTCACCGTTCCTTCCAGGTGGATGCGATGGCGGCTGAGTAGTAGGATAGGCCGGTGTGAATTCAGTGACGTAGCTCGGTGACGAGTTACGAATTCCAATAGCGTTATGACGTGGAGGCGATGCATGAGGACCGATGTATGGTGGTGGGACTGGGGCTGCTGTACTTGGAGGTGGTGGTATTGTTGCTGTTGCTGCTTTCATTACATGTGGTCGATTCGAGTGATAATCATTGATATCGTGATAAGCGTCGTCTTCTCTCGGTCTGATAAGGTGCGGCTGGTATGGCGGCTGTGCGCTCCATCTATTCTGTGCCGGTGCTGAAAATGTTAGCATCAACTAAAGGGCAACTAAACTGCCAGTATGAGATCTCACAACACCTACAAACAACTCAACAACTAAGTTGAATGAGAGAACTAGCCAAAAAGAAGCAGTACAAGTGCTTGACGTACGCCTCAACTGAGTGTAGTGTTCAAAACCAACACATACGACTAATTGAACACAACTCAAAGCATATTCTACAAATCCATGCTATTGTACTACGGCAGTACGTCTCTCGGGCTCGATCAGGCGAGTTTAGGGCGGGTCGGCATAGAAGCTTGGGGTATACATATTTATGAAGCACGGACGTGAGGAAGCGAGTTTTCTGGAACCCGCCCTGAACTGAACAAGTTCGTACCACCACGACCACCAGACCACCACCATGACGACGATCAGGACGAGGACTGAACATAAAGTGGGGTGCAGCGAGAGCGATTCTGTTCAGCAACCTCTTCATTCATTCAGCTCTTTAGGTCTTTCAGCTCAAGCAGCATTTGATGATCACAATTGTCCATGATTGGATTTGATTTCATTGTACATACTCGTATACGGATGAGGAAAGATCCCGAAGGAAGAGCACATTGTCTCAGAGGTCTGAAAGCGAATCAAGCTGAGATATCGTAATTTTTTCTCTACTCCTGAGCAGTTTGGATACATGAAGATTCATAAGAACAGCTTTTGGTTTTGAATTTTGAATTTCCAATTGCAAAATCTTTTTCGGAAGTTGTAATCCTAATGAGATTCTGAAGAACTAAGTATTGGTGACAGTTATCTAGAATAAACTAAAAGTTCTCGTATTACTAATAATAGTGAATAGTTCAACTGAATATTACTTTGTTCTTCTTACTTGGCTACTGGAAAGGGACACGGTAGTTGAAAGTCAAGGTACAATTATTATTTTCCGACAGGATTACACACGAAGTAGTTGCAGACTTTGAACAGAGAGGCGGTAGACCGCGATGATACGTTTGCTTCCTCGGGTACATATGTTGGAAAAATGTTCAGCTGCTGTTTAAGAGTTCTTCCGTCATGTCAGATGAGCCAAAAGCTCCAAGGGGAAGCAAACCTAGCAAATGAAGCTTACAACTTTGCAAATGTGCACTGAAAGATTGCCTGGCGGCAGAAACAACCTGGTATTGCAGCTAAGGAAACGCTCGGTAAGAAATCACACAATCAGGATTCAGCAATGGCTCGATCAGTCACTACTCAATCGAGCCATTGCTAATAGCCGTCTATGATGACTTTCACGCCTTTTTAAAGGGAACACCGATAGAGCGCGCGCAGTGGTCCAAGAAAAGAATTGTACAATGAAAGCTTCATTGCTGGGCGAAATCAAAAGGTCGTGCCTCTCACAATCGGTCAGTTTTTTCGACGGGGATTCTTCGTAATCGCTTTGGTGTGCTTCTTGGCTGCCTATGTTCCTCGTGTCTCACCGATACATAGATGACCGTCATTGGACCGACCACAACTTCATGGAAGGAGTCGAAGAGAAATGGTGCCCATGCGCTAAATGTGGAGAGCAACCTCGATGTGACTTCACGAATGGGACGCCACCCATAGAGCGAATGTTACAAACTCTAAGGTGGATTTTCTTATTATTTCCTTTTCGTATGACTCACTTCATTACCGTGCCGTACACTAAATATGGGCCACAATAAATAAAGTGCAGTAACTTTACTATTGCGTCATGGCAGTGCAGAACTCCCTATTCCTCAAGATCCTCAATCGATGTCTGTTATGAGTACGCGTATATTGCCGTAGATCAGGAAGGAGGGAACCGAGTGCCTTGAATTGTAAGTTTAATCCAGTCCCACGCGGCAGAGATGGAGCACAGGTCGCTCCGTGAAACTCCAACACCAGCTCTCACCTGGAGCGCTGCTTACCAGCCGGCTAACGAAGTAACGGGAGTGAGACTGGGCAACCTAGCAGGCACGAACCTACAGTACTTATTGGTAGAACCTTCACTTTCGAAGGGAGTAGAAGCGTTGACCCTTCATCCCATCTTTCCACTGCCACTGTCCAACAACGTCCTCAGCAGAAAACATGAGTCGAAAAAATTATTACACCAACAACTTTCAGAACCCTACCAGTAACTCGATCAGACTGAATTAGAGACTGCACTCGGGACCACCGTAACGATTTTCATAAATTCCAGAAATCTTTCGATTTTTGTGAAAGTCTCTTGGTTTCAATAGGCAGTTCTCCCAATACTCATGAAAAACTTGAAAAACTTTAAACAACTTTTTTCAGGTACTCACCTGCATTTCTTTCGAACATATTGTGCATAGCCTCTACACGACTAGGATTGATCTTTTCTTGATTGATCGTCTCGAATGGATTCGACTGATTCATGGAATGAGGCGTGGCATACAAAGCGTGGCCTGAAATTCTCCACTACTTGATGCGCAAAGATCTCTATTTGTTTGTGGTTACATTCTGCGTAAACCTGGAAGGACGTTATGCCACTTAAAACAAGAGTGGATTTTGAGTTCTCCAATGGGGCAGAAAACTTAGGAAAAGAACTGCCAAGAGTCTACGGAATCAGAAAGCTATTTGGTGTTGATTTCAGGATGCGCATAGGAACTATGTAATATGCGTGCATATGGATTCTCGGGTCTTGATGCTGTTATTATACAACTAAAGATACTAATAGCCTCCCTCTCCCAGGACACGTGCTGATGAGGGGCGGAGCTTTCTCAAGAGGCGTTATTTCCTACTGAGAAAGACTTATTTCGATAAGGCACTGCTCGCTAACCTTCATTTTCCATAAATTACCGTTCGCCATTTCTATCACCCCTCAGCTTTCCAATAACACGTAGCTATGGTTCACTTGAATACGGCAATGTTCTGACTTCACTCATACTATGCGAGGAGTACTCACTAGGTTGCGACTTTTTTCGCGGAGGTTGTTGAGTCGCATGGAAGTCGTTGACGACGTTGTTCAGCATGTTAGTGACCTCATCCAGTGATTTCTGCTGCCGTTGTGGATTCGACTTCTTCACAACCGGCTGCGTTGCAAACTGAGGTGGTTGCGGTACACGTTGAACTTGTGCAGCTGGTTGTGGTTGTTGTGGTGGATGTTGTGCAGCAGCATGAGTCACTCGATGCTGGTTGTTCATTGGTGTCGAATGCGACTGGTGAACTGGCTGGTGACTGCTCACCGCCGCTGCATGATAGAGCCCCACCGGAGGTTGCTGGTATCTGTAACGAACATTTTCCATCGTTCAGAATTGAGTGTGATGCAAGAGGTCGTTTACGCGGCTAGTGGACAGAGAGGCAGAGGAATCGCTTGCGAGTTGTCTCGCCTGCTGCTGCGCATCGGCTGTACAGTAGCGATAACTCTGCGTCTCTGCAACTAATCGCATGGTATAGCTCCTGCACCAGTTCCCTCAATGTCCCACAAGGAACATCGGGGAATGCCAGACTCACGGCTGAGCTTTCCTTTCAATCGGTGGTGCCCTTTTTTCTGACAGACGTCGCATCGGTTGTTCGTAAACCGAACTTCCCGTAGCGAACGCGCTGTCGCGGGCGTACGATGTTGGGAACGATCGTCGCTTATCAGCAGCCGTCATGGGCTAAATGAGAACAACTCGAGAGAATATTTTAAGAACGGAATAAATCGGTAATCTGTAACATAGCATAGCGATACCTGTTCAGTGTTGAGTTCTAATTCGGCACACAACTGATCTATAGCTAAAGATGGATCTTTCATTGGTGACGGCTGGTGTTGATACCTACCACGGATGATAAGTCCGGCGTCAGGAAGTGATCTGAGAGGCACATATTTATCGATTTATAATTGTCTGAGTTATTATGGTCAGTATTACAATGAATTGAATTTCGTTCAAAGCCATGCATGTCGCCTTCTTTTTGAAGTAACCAAGAGGGATCTTTCACTGGATCAATTTTACTGACCAAATGCTGATCAACGCAACTTCTCCGAGCTTCAAGAAAAAAAGTACGAGGCTGAATGTGAAACTTATTGAATTCCACCCGCGATGACCAAATCCATGATAACCCATTGGAGGGGCTCTTCCATCTGAGGGATAGCGGGGGGAAAGATCGATTCTTTTTCCTCAGACGTTTGCTGGCTTCTACACAACATACGCCGATTGCCTCCACGATTCAGAGGATTAATCTTGCACGACTCGTGGATAGAAGGCGTTGAAACGGGCCACTACGGCACAAAAATATTTCAAGACGTCATTTCTGCCAACTACTTATCGACTGGACCAAAAACTTGTCTTACCTCAGCGATCCTCTCATATTCGCACTACGTCCTGATAGGTTGGATACAGTTTGGAAGGCGGAAGGTGATGGCCTCAAGACGTCCTCCGGTGGCACGCTTCCGTGTGCCTGATGAGGCTCCTTCAAATGATGTAATCAGACTTACTCGTCGTGACTAGCATTTTTACTATTACTATTGTTACTCTTACTGCTGTTACTATTCTCATTATTATTGCTATTACTAATAGTAGTATTACGATTGTTTTCATTTTACCACTACAAACATTGTAATTGTTATTATATGTAATGGCATAAAATTTACGGTTGTATGACATTAATTGTAAGGTCTACATTGGTTAAAATGAACATAAAATTTCTTACTGCTTTCGCTACTGTCACTGTTGTTATTGTACTGTCAAATAGGACGGTCTACCAATTGCTAAATCTAAAAACTCACTGCAGAAGCAACCCGTACCTGTGATCCCGATCTCCAGGTATTGCTCGGGTAATCACGTCGTTCGGGAACATGATCATATGAAGCCACACGAGGTATGCTCGGCACCTCAAGTTCCATAGGGAAATTCCGGGGCCTGGAAGGTAGCGGTTTGGAATTTTTGAAAATTTTCCATAAAGTTTGGTTGCATGTAATTGGAAGATGGATTCTGCTACTTGAAACAAGCTGTTCCGATGCTAATGACTGCACAGACGTGTAGCTTTCTGTCGATCTCATTAAGTAATTTGGTCGAAAAATTTGGGATTTGAAAATTCCCAATGGCACTTTTTCGCTAAAAAAATGGCCTCGACCCCTTAAGGTTCGTTTTTATGTTCCTTTGTTACTAGCGATCCTCTCTTTGAGCGAGTCTATTGAACACTTGGTGTACCCCAGTAGTACTGGTTTGGTCTAGTGAGCAAAAAGAAGTCAAAAACTTAAAAGATATGGTGTACTACTTCAAAGTGGGAGGGCTTCGCATGGCTTTGTCCTATCCCACCTCCGATAGTCAGCAAGAGGTAGGATCGTTAAGAATAGGTTAGATTGAAAAAGTTTCAAAGGAGAAAAAGAAGGAAGTCTACAGTGACATCACTCACCCACTGGTCCTTCCTTGGCTACCATAGACAGGTTGAGGACGACATGGCTGCGGACGAATGGGTGCTGGTTTCTCCAACGAGGCAACAATCGCGATGCTGAAGTCATATATAATAATAAGTTGAGACGCTAATCACCACTTCAGCTCTATTAAATTTGAGAAAAAAAAATCGCATCAAAGTAGGTATATTTCGCTGAGGATGCGCCGTGCCACCTAATTCCGATATTCCCAGTCAAACATCTGTGCAAACATTTTGACTTCGTATGCCTCCTTTTCAGGATTTCCCAGGAATAAAAAAGGCTAAAAACTCCTGCTTCGGCGGAAACAACAGAGAACGCCTTAAGGACCTACCTAAATCTACCCAAAGTCGATAAGGAATATTCAAATATGATTGAAGTTTCTTGCAGTCAGCGGAATGAGCATATTGACCGCCTCGAGGAACTTATAAGTGGGCCTTTTTTGGCACGTAAGGGGAACGGACCTAGGGGGAGAGCCGAAAGTCTGCCAGTACGTTTAGTTTGCCTACTACTCACGTGGAATATTGCAGAATAATGCTATAGGTTTTCACTGCAGCCTAGGTGATGCTCGGACTCGGAGGGAAAACCTGGACCATCATAACTCTCCGCTCCAAATCTCAGTCTGCTCTACGGCGATAATTAATCAGCAGTCGTGCAAAATACTGAGCGCCCTTAGTCACGCAAGAAGTTCGTACCCATTGCTTCTTTTTGACTTTTCTCTCCTGGCAGGAGCATTAATCGCGGCCACCTCGGCAGAGCAGCTGCCCAATGAGTGCTCGTCGGGGTCGTTGTAAAACGAACACTGAAATACGTTACTATTAAACGTTATCATCAACGCTATCATTATCATCCACGCTTCATAACTTCACATTCCTAAGTTCAAAGCTGTCTTTGGAAGAAATTATTCGAAATTTCGCTAGAAAGTGATGACAAGGTGCATATCTTTTGTATTTTGGCTTGATGAGCTTAGTTCGATTCAAGTAAGTAAGGAAAAAAGCCTGAAAACACTCAGAGAAAACGGAAGAAAGTGAAATTTTAAACTCAATTGCTTCAATTGTATCAAATTAAATTGGAAACAAGCCAGCGGGAAAAACTACTATGACAACCGTGAAAAACTGAAAGGATCACGAACTTGAATCCAATCCGGCTTTATTTTATTCAACTCGAGTTGAGTTTAACGAGAAAGGAGAAACTTTCAAAATTTTATGAAAGTGCAAAAAAAAAAAAA